GATGCCATTAGGGCAAAGAGAATGATAACAGGGCAAAAGAGTTTAGTGATTCATCAGTAATTAGGTCAAGCTTCCCCTGAGCAACAGTAGTTAACACAGATGCAAACCGAAGGGGAGCACACTAATTGGAAGAACATTTTAATCTATATCTACAGATCATCAAACCAATACAGCCTGGCTTTCTTTTTTTGGGGGGAGGGATTTTTTGTTATTATTATTTATTTATTTTTCCCCACAGAGCTTGCCATGCAATATCCTCATTTAAACCGGCAACAGCGAGAAATCGTGGCATTGCCTACTTTTGTATACATATTACACTCTCAAACTGCTGCTCTTTTCTATTGGTTCACATTTTGGATCATATCTCAGTTCATGTCATACATAAACAAACATAATATCCCCCATCCTCCCTACTGCAATACTGCCACCACCGCCACGCTGTCCCCTCTCCGCCGCCCCCCACCCCCCGCGGGAGGGCAAATTTAAGATTTTTGGGCCGAAATCTTTCTGTTGCGGGTGTACAACTTTGCAATCTGGACCTCCCCGTTTGGGAATTGCGCCTAGGAAAAGTTGGTAAGTACTGGGGCATTTTGCAAAGTTGGAAGGTACCCTGTAGGGGTATATTGCAAATATGGGGGTCCAACCGATGCTTGGGGCATTTAACAAACTAATATTTTTGTCAGAGGGGTATTCGGCTCTACCCACATCTTTTAGGGGCATTTTGGCATATATCTCAACTTATGGGGGTATTTTGCAAATTATCCCCAAAAGAAAAAGGGCGAAAAAATACCCGGCAAAAAACAGGCTTGTGGTCTGCAGCAACTGGCAGCCAATAGCATCATGCCGGAACTCCTTTGGTAGGCCAAAACATCAGCAGTCCCTGCTGGGAGGACGCCGCCCTATCTAGCTCCTGTTTATTGGCTTCTCGTGTGACTACACGACAAACGTCTGCAACCATATTACGCTGGTCGGCACTACGGGCTGCGAGTCCGCGGACTCGCGGTATGTCAGTTAAAAGGGATTTGCTCATGCAAGGTTATCCTCGAAGTTTGGTGGTCTCTACTTTCCACCGTTTTGCTGCCAGATGTGGTGGATTGATAGCAGAGGTTGTTGCAACCTGTGTTCGATTTGGGACTGGGTATGTTTGCCAAGTAGGCCCTAGACGGGCCCTGTATTTCCATTTTCTATTTGCTTAGGTGTACGTTTTGAATGTATCGTTTAGTATCGCGGCGACGAGGACTTGGGCCCAGCCTAGGGCTGCTTTTTTCACCCTTTCAGGCCGTACGCCTGCTTGCTGGTGTGTCTCTGTTTTTCGTGGCCTTTGTTTGCGGGCTTTGCCAGACTTTTGCCCAGGCGGCGGATGACCCTTTGTGGTCCGTTGTTCTGCCTTGCGTCAGTACACGATACTGTTATACCGCGTCAAACGCTTGGACGCAGCCATTCGGGTAGCATGCTTTATGTTCTAGACGGTAAGCTTGGCAAAGGTCTTATGAAGTGGGGGATGGGCAGCCTTCTGGATGGTAGTGTCCAAAGCCAACACTCTCCCACACACCACAAGCAACCCACTCACATGCGCACTCACACCCGTGTTTGCTGAAGACCTTACTGATATGGACTGGGAGGATCCAGCTCACTATCTCAGTTGGATGGCACCAAGAGCGCCACAAGCGGCCGTGGGGATTGAACCCACAACCTCCTGAATGTCACGTGCGTGCCTAACCAATTGAGCTAGGACGCTGGATGGAGCCCAGATTCTTCTATCGCAGGAGGGAAAAAAAAAAAACAACAACTGAAAAACGAATAGCAAGCTACTGAGGGCTGTACCACCCCACACGTAGCCAGGAAAAAGGGCATTTCAAGCTCTAAATTACTAGCACTGTATCTACCCATGTTCTACCAGAAGATTCATGCTCGTTTTGCACATTTGGTCAGTAGTGGAGCAAGGCCGTATCTCCACAGCTCTCGTGGCAAAGGTAAGTACGCTTTTTTTTCTTTTTTTTTCCGAAAGTCAATACGTACGTTTTTCTTTTCTTTTCTTTTCTTTAGTAAGCCCTGCCAACGAGGCAGGGCATACCGTTCTAGATTTCGTTTACTTGGGCGTACTAAACAGCAGAATGCTTCGATACTGTATTTCTGGGAAGATGCAGTAGAAGAGAAAAAAAACGAAAGCGGAAAAGACCCAGACCCAAATCGCCCGCCCACACCCATATCGCCCGCCCCCAGTTTGCAACGGGGAAAAACTCTATCCCTCAAAAGGGAAACAATGGACAACGCCGTATACTAAATTGCAACGACCTTGACAAGCTAACCCACCCTACGACTGGTCTTAGGGACGACTGCGACCGGACCCTATATTCTGCTGTCAGAGACCCCAAACGAACCCGTCCTAGCGAAGTTGTACTGCACGACCTTACCAAAAATAGAAAGAAATGAAACGACGAAAATGAACCCCACACAAGCGCAGCCTCCTGGCTGCGAACAGCACCTCTGTCAGGTTTACCGAATGTAATTTGCGGCACTTTCGGCTTTGTTCTTTATGTTTTCCGAGGCGGCTCTATTATGGGGCCCAGCACCGGTATTGTACGATCTGCTTAGGCCTGGGAACTTCATCCCAGGGATGTAGCGGACCTCGGGTTGGCCTGTGAGACCAGCCCCTTGGCCTGTTCTCACAGGCCTGTGTTGTATTCGGGGTAGGCCATTCCAGGCCGGTACCTCTRTCGGTACCARCCAGTCCAGTCCAGTCCCGTCAGTCCGCTGGGGTATACCCCAGCCATTGTCTGTTTTCAGCCTCATTCATCACTTGCACATTTTGGAGTACGTGCGTTGGAGTCTTGCGTGGGGAGCTGCGCTGTGCCAACTTGCTCCCCCTTCTTCCTCCATCTCCATCTCTGTCACTAGCGGAGCACCACACCCGGTGGGTCCGCTACAAGGGACGTGGGACCCTGATACAGTTGTTGAGACATCTTCGGAGAGTTCCGGCTCGAGCTAGCATGACCCTTTCGAAGTATAAACTCCACAGGTCGGATGGTCGGCTCCTCTCATCTCATTTCAAGAACGTGCTTCAACTGCTATACCATATGCTACACTCGCCAGCGTGACCTCTGAGTGTACTCTGCAGCGGTTCTTGCGGATCGACGACGATCTTCCGATAGCGGTGGTGCTCTTTCATACGTCTGTTTTCCTGTGCCTGTGTGTGCCTGTCTGTCTTGCATTTTTGTGCAGGTATTTGGAGTCTCCATGCTGACATGGCGCTTGTTTGCTTCCTGCTATCGACTGTTTTTGGGACTTCTAAGGCTTCATTCCGGGTTTCTTGGCAGGTCTTGTTTATGTGGTTCGCTTTGATGGGGTCTGATTTGGAACTCTGGTGCGCATGGATGGGGTATAGGGTAGGTGTTGGTTGGCGAGATGATAGGGCAAGGCATTGGTATGGCCTCCACTTGTGCTTAGCTGGTAGTAGCTTTGCAGCATGCTGGGATTAGCCTTCTGATGACTCCACATGCGGGGTGGATGAAACGCGTAGAGGTTGTGGCCGCGTGGTTGATGTAATGATTGATCTTTGACATGCTGTTTTCATGATCTTGTTTTTTGTATAAATTGCGTACGTAACAGGCTTGTGTACCCTGTTCTCACGCTCGTACTGTCTTGACAGGCAGTCCTCTCTTTCTTACTGGTATATTTGATTCTGTCCTAACGAGTAGCAGAAGAGTGCCCTGCTGAAGTGTTCTGTGGTTCTCGGAAAACTTGTGGATCATGGCTAGGTTACTAGATTGGGCTTTTTCTGTCGTATGTTACTGCTATATTTGATTCTGTCCTAATGAGTAGCAGAATAATGCCCTGCTGAAGTGCTCTGTGTCTCTGTGACAAAAGTTACGTAAGTCGAAGGGAGGGGGGAACAGTTCTCCACTCTTTATGGATTCAAAAGTGGTGGCCACTGTTAGGAAATGTCATCTTGTTTAGAGAACTTCTGACTGGAGCTGAGTCCTCTTGCTGACCGGGATGGGGTTAATTAGGTTACTCCATATGCAGGCCTTTCTGTTCTCTCAGCGTCTCTGCTCATTTTGTCATCTCAACATCTTAGTATATTATTTGACTTTGACGTGAAGTCAAGTCTGCTAATGCTCTCTCTCTCTCTCTCTCTCTCTCTCTCTCTCTCTCTCTCTCTCTCTCT